GCTTTGTACCTTTACGTGCGGCGCTCGCTGTGGCCAGCATCGGCCGAGTTGACGAAGCTGCAAGTGCTGCTTTGCTGAGGCTCAAACTTCGAGTCCACGGTGTTTTCAGGCATGCCACACGGCCGCTCAGGCTTACCGCACTCGATCTTGGTGTACCGGGGTGTCCGTACTGCCACCGGAATGGACCTCTGTGTCTCAACAAACCACCGTTGGTGATACAGCAAGCGAAGGCTTACCAGATCTAGGGCGAGCTCGAGAGCTTGGTGTCGTGTGGTTGCACTGCCGGAGGAGGAGAATCAGTCATGAGAGTATGGATGGTGTCCCAGGTGCGTAGCATACCTTCATCATGCATCCAATGTACTCATTTGGTCCGGAAAGAAGATGCGCGTACCACGGTACGGCCGACGTGAGCGGCGACATCTTCTGCGTGCACGGGCGCTTTACGCCCCGGGAGTGCGGCACAAAGGACCGCTCCGGGAGCCGGACGAGGAAACCGCAAGTGTTATTCTTGCCGCGACTCTCGCGGGGCAGCGGTGGAGCACTAGTATGGCGCGACGCGCTCTTCGAGACTGCGGCTTTCCCTTCGCGCCTCCGCGGGTGATGCACTGGACTCGCACGCATTGAACGGCCCTCCGCGTACTGCGAGTCTGCGATGTCAGTGACAACACGTACGTCAACACATTATGGGAGCACGACATGGCCAAAGCGCACCAAATCCAAGGGAAGTGCGCGAGGTTGGTGTGGTACTTGCCCTGGCGCTGTCGATCGGCGAGGGTCAGCCCGAGTCAACACGGTACCAAACAACCTCCGGTGAGTGTCATACCTGTGCCGTACAAGGTCCGTACCAACCGGGGCTTCCAGAGTCGCCTCACAAAGACCGACCAGGCGACCGCGACGGTGGTGGTAAGGTCCTCCGGTGGGCTCTCCCAGCTAAACGAAGACAGCGTGAGTACTATTTCGAGTTCACGTATTCCGGCCTGTAGCTGACTTGTTCGGAGGCGTACGATGGAGACAGATACCAGATTAACAGAGGCCGCCGGAAACAAGCCCAGAGCGAGGACGAGCAGGCGGCGAGGCCGGCGGTGGCCGTGGTGCAGAGCAGAGACGCGGCGAGCAGCGCGACGCGACTTGGCCATTTCGAGCAGTGCCATGATAGGCGCCCGTGCTCCGCGGAGTGCGCGAGGTCGTTTCTCGGTCGCTCTTGTCGAGTTTCTCGTTGTGTAAATAGACGGCTTTGAGTACCCTGTCGTAGCGCAGAGGTTGTCCGTGAATGCGACTATTTTGAACCGTGAATTACGAGTGCTCGCGAGCCCCAGTGAAGTCCGCGCCAGCCTCCCAGTCGAAGTGCCGCCGGGCCTCCCTATGCACCCCAGCGTCAAACGAGTACCCATTATTCACGCAGAGGACAGAATTCCATCTGGGAGATCCAACGCGCGTCCCCAAGATCCCCCGCCTGCCGAGATCCACCGTGCGTGCACCCGCCCGCAGTGTGTCCTCTCGCTTGCCCCGCACCGCCACCCGCGAATACAACCCGCCCGCCGCGCGAAGTTCAAAGTCCAAACAAAATATATTGTCGCGCTACGTACATCCACACGGAGTCCCTCGCCCCCCACATCGCTATCGGGCGTGGCATGCTTCGTGGGAGGCGGCGGCGACGGCGGTTCTCGTAGGACTGCTTCAGGCGATAGGGAGCGCGACCGGTCATGGACGCTGACGCTGTCTGAGGTCAGAGTTCCGTCGTCCGGCGTCATGGGAGGTGTCGGTACGGTATGGACAGAGGACATCTGTTGGTGCATGTGGGGGTCGACCGTAGACGCAGTGTGGGGTGGGTGGTCTTGCTGATTCCTTTGCCCGTAGACGACGCCATGAGATTGACGATCATCATAGACGTACTGGTTGGACAGATGAGAATCGTCCGGCGCGACTGCGGTCTCCTGTGACGCAAGATCTTGAAGGACTGGCTGCACAGGGGTGGCAGGGAAGGTTGATATGGTTTGCGAGCGCCTGCGGTAGTGATATTCGCGGCTCGAGAGCTTCTCTGACGCTTCCTGATCCCGCTCCTGAGGTCTGCGCGTCGGAAGCGACGAGGAGCCAATATCCGCGTCCGAGAAATAAGACGTAGAATCCCTCGCGGGCCGGGTCCGCGCACGTGGTGGACGCGGTGGCCTGGAGAAATCAGAGTGGTAGCCGTCTCGCAGTTGGTCGAGTGCGTCAATGCTCCTCGCCGCGTGGAGAACGGTTCGGGGAAGCGAGGGGAGGTCGGGTAGTGCGTGCTGGTTCAGACGGACATGGTCCACTGGCATAGGCGGCGTGTGAGTCGGCGTAGAAGTGGACGGGTTGGTACCGCCATATTTCTGAGACGAGTGGGCGCGCTCTCGTAAAACTTGGAGGGGCGCGAACGGATCGGTGGGGTCCGGAAGGGGGTACTTGGGCGAGTAGGGGAACGCCGGCGGCGGTTTGCGCTTGATCCTAGAGGCCGAGCGGGTGTCAGAAAGAGTGGCCATGGCGTCCAGCGCTATTTGCCCGAGCACGGTGAGGGATGGAATGGCCCTGGAGAGCAGTAGCGACATCCCTC